GTTTACAGTTTGGACAAGTAGGCAATTACGGATGTTTCTGTGAAAACAGACTTTCATTTCTCCAGGGTAAACACTGCGTAGTGAATTTTCTGTCCTATAATAAGTGCCTTTTTATTTTTAAAGTGTCAAGCTGTTTTCCGGAATAGCTGGACCGTCACTATCCCTGTCAGCAATTTTTGAGATCAGCTGCTGCATGCCGACACCAGCATGTACTGTTAGCTTAGTCCTACTAACGAGGGCAGCGGAACCCGTCACTGGGCCCTTCGTTCTCACTGCTCTGGTAGTTGATGTTGCGGAACATTTCTAATACACCTAACTGCCATCCTGCTATTGCCCTTGATGAAGAAACTACTTAAGTCTGCTATATTTCTTTTAAAAAGTATTCTTACTGAGTTGAGTTCTTACTTGTTGACTTCTGAGAGCTCCCTGGCTAAGACTTCTAGCGCAGTGTTGAACAGGCATGGAGAGCGGCCGCCTCCCTGATCCCATCTCAGAGCGGGCGCTTGGCACTGCATTACTGAAGATGTCAGCTGTCAGTTTGCTGTGGGAGGGCTTTGTCAGGCTGAAGAAGTTCCCTGCATTGTTAGTTTGCTGAGAATTTTGAAATCATGAATGGATATTGCACTTGATCAAATGCTTTTTCTGTATCAGTTGACATGGCTGTGTGCTTTAACCTTTGCAGCCAAAGAAAATTACTTTTAGCTACTCAGATGGTTCATTAACCTACTTTCTGAATGTTGCCTTTCCTGGGTTTGTTCTACTTTGCCTCTTTGCTTCTTTAAGGTACTGCTGAATTGGACTTGCTAGCATTTTACTAAGAATTTTCCTATGTCCAGGAGAGATTTTTATCTGTCCTTTGCTTTTCTGGGTACTGTTCTTGGTTTTCTGTTTGTTTTCCCTAGTTTTAATAAGAGAGCAATGCTGGCTTTATACAGTGATTTGAGATATTGCCTATCCCAGTTTTCTGGATGAGGTTTTACAGAATTGGCATTATTTTTCTTTAAAAGTTTGGTAGAATTCAACACTGAGATTACTTGGACCCAGAGAAGTCATTTGCAAGAACTTTTACTACAAATCCAAATTTGTTACTAGGCATGGGATTAGACCAACTGTTCCATTGGATACGTTTTAACAGTTCTGATTTATGTAGAATTCACTTCTCTAAGTTGTGTGTAGATTCATTTATAATATTTTACGATTATTCTTTTTATGCAGGGCCTGTAGTACTGTCTCCTATTTTATAGCTCTGTAGCACTGTCCTCCAGTTGTTCATCTATTTGCTCAAGCAGGCACCAATAATGTCTCCATTGTGAGACTTGTTGTTACTGTTTTTTGGCATATCTAATACGCCACGGGGAGCTTGCCAGGCTCTGCCGTGCGGGTGGGGTACTCTCAGTAGCTTGCCGGGCTCTCCGAGAGAGATGGAGCAATTGAACCCAGGTCGGCCGTGTGCAAGGCAAACACCCTACCCGCTGTGCTATCGCTTCAGCCCCTCCTGTTTTATAACTCATGCTATTTATTTCCATCAGTCTTTCAAGAGGTTTATCATTAAATTCAAAACATCAGTTTCTGCGTCTGTTTTCTGTGCTTTATTTCAGATTTCATTCACTTTTCCCTTCTGCTTGCATTGGCCTCATTTTGGAAGTGACGTTTCCACGCATTAAAGCCCACTGAATATTACAGGCTTTAATATAAAGAACTCAGGTGCGGGAAAAGTCCACGACACTCACCCACGTGGTCAGTCAGCATTCCTGTCCCTCTTCCTTTGGCACTTGTGTTCCAGATCACCCACTGACATCACTTCCTCCTTCGCAATTCTTTCAAAGATGAGTGTCAGCTCTAAGATACGTTCCCTTCTGGGTCTAGGAATGGTATTATTTAAATTTCATTCCTGTACTTTATCTGAATATTGAATCATGCCTACTTTTTTTTTGGGGGGGGTCCAAGGGCACACTCACAAGGGCTGACTCCTGACTCTGTGCTCAAGGGTCACTCCCGGTCCTACTCGGGGACCATATGGGACATCGAAGATCAAAACCAGGTGGCCGCTTGCAAGGCAAATGCCTTACCTGCTGTACTATTGCTCCAGCCCCCGGTTTTGTATTTTGTTTTGTCTTGTTTTAATATAAAAAAAAAAGTCCCTCGGGTTTTCTGGTGAGAAATCTTAAGTAATATCATTATTCTTCTCCAAGAAATGCATGGTTTTTCTCCACATCCTTTCACTTTTTTTTTTTGTCTTGAGTTTTCAGAAATTTAAGATATGTCCTCGTAGGGATTTGGGATAGTTTGTCCTATTTTAGATTCTCTTAGGTTCTTGAATCTGTAGATTTATGTCCTTGTCACACTTCTCTTTGATATTATTTCTTCAAATTTGTTTTCAATTCTTTGCTCTCCTTTGGTGACTTTGAAGACACAAGTATTTAAGACTTTATTACTGTTTCACAATCCAAGACAGTCTCTTCATTTCCCTCCCGCCACTCTGCCCCAAACAACGTTCATTTGTTGCCTTTCTGTATCTTCTACTTACTGACTGATACTTTTGTTTCTCTCTCAAGTGTTGGGGTGGAACCCACAGAGGCATATACTTACCCACTGAGCCTCATCCCAGCCCCTTAATACTTTGTACTTTAACATCTGTTTTAAGAATTTTTCTGGTTGCCTGTTAATACATTATAGGGGCTGATACTGTTTATATAATTTCAATATATCAATGTTACCTTGTTGCTGTCATGTAGAATTCATTTTTCACACAACAGTCTCTTTTTGAGGGGCGTCCTCGATTGATAAGTATTAATCGCAATGGGCTACATTTTAAATCATAGTATAACACCCCAAATCTGTTTAAATCTATAGCAAACACTGATTATTTTTGGTCAGTCTCATTACATGCAAGTTACAAGTCACAGCCGCTTCCTTCCAGGCAATGTGGTGACAAGGACCCTTGAGTTCTAGATGGCTTTACAGCCGTGGTTTGAAATAAGCACATGCATCGAGATTGAGATGCCAGCCTGAGGCCCGAGCTTCTTTGAGCTCGCTGGGATCACAGTTAAGCCCAGCAGCTCATCAACAGCTTTTGGGAACTGCTTTCCTCCTGCCTCCACGAAGTCTCCTCACTACTTCCTGTCTTTTTCCTCCGGGCTGAGGGGCCGAGAGAGGGGTGTGTGGTTCCCATCAGTCATGGGCTCCGCCCTCTCACCAAAGCAGGAGTGTGAGTGAGAAAACCGAAGGGCTCTGAGTCCCTCCCTCGGGGCTGCAGAGGCCATACATGGAGGGTCCCTCCTGGGGCTCCTGTCCTTGTTCCACCTTGCCCTCAACTCAGCCCAGGAGACATGGGAAGGGATCACCAGCTCTGTGGGACTCTGCCTCTCATTGTCTCCCCGTCTTTCTGCAGCTGCTCATTTCCGAGTCCCGAGGGTGGAGCCCTTCCCTGGCCCAGAGACAACACTAAGTCTGGCGAGAAGGGCAGTGGCATGTATACATACCCCTCCGTCCATGCCCTGGCACCCTGCCCGGCTGCTTCTGTGTGCCAGGTGCTGTGTTCACAGACCTGGATAAGCAACGCGAGGTCCCGAAAAGTGTCCCCTCCCCCGCATCAAGGTGCCGTGAGCTTCTGTCGGACCCCCAGGACCCTGAGATCAGGGTGCCCGGCTCCAAGCGGCCTGCCTAACTGCCTCTGGCGCCCAAGTTCTCCACACGCTGCTCCCCAAGGACACACCAATGTCCCAGGACTTTGCAACATGCCCCTCCTTGGGCCCACAAGGCCAGGGAAGCATCCATGCTCAGCCCCTTGGCCGCCCTGCAGGAATGGAGATATGCCAGGGAAATGGGCCAGACTAGGCCCATGAGATCCCCGGGCTCCCTTGGGCTCTGCCCGGGGAATTCTCCACTATCATCAAGAGTCCCTGAATAACTTCAAGCTGATGGGGTTGGGTTTGGGATTGGTTTGAGGTGTTTGGGTTTTCGGTTATTGTTTCTCATCAGGTTTGGGGTCCGCAGCTGGGAGGGCCTGGGGCTCGCCACTGGTGGTGCTCAGGGGACTGTGTGGGACCTCACGCGCAAAGCAGGCGCTCCGCTCACTGAGCCCTGGCTCCAGCTGATGCATTCTATGACTGTTCAAGCTTTTCAGGCATCCTTGGAACAACGGACCCAAATTACCCGGCCCTCCATCAAAGCAACTTGCTCTGAACATTTCCTGAGATCAGGACACGGATGAAGAAACTATGGTTTAACTCTGCATGGCCCGAACCACAACACCAGCTAACTCTGCAATTACAGGGCTCGTCCCTGTGCCCTCCCTGCTCCCAGTGATGGGGAAAAGAGTGTTAAAATCAAGGAACGATATAGACACACATTCTTATCTAACGAGGCCCCGCTCGCCGCCAACTCCGACCTCTCTCTGCCTGGAAACAGTATTTCCTAGCGTTTTGATTTACTGATCTTTTTTCCAGGAACATACCTTAAAGGTAGGTCAGGTTATATAATTGGCAACGTTCCCTGCCAGCTTACAGAGAACAAAGGCTTTGATCTGCCCGGCCTCCCAGGTGACCACAAATCAGGGTGCAGTCGACAGCCCCAAAGGTCGGCTTGCTGGCACCTGTCTGCCCCGATGCAGACGCCAAAGGGCTTTGCTCCACATGGACGATTCCAGGCACAGGCCCAGCATGGGACAATCCTGCCCCACCCCAGAATAAGCAGGACAGCGGCCAAAACGAAAGGAGCGCAGAGCTCCTGGTAAGAAAGTGTAGCACCTCGCAGCAAACCCATTGATACCACAGAAAAGCCATGGACTGACCCGCCTGCCCCAGCGCAGCCCTGCCTGGCCCACTTGGCAGTCAGGGCACGGTGCAGCCTTACCAGCTACCTGGGGTCACCTTGCGGAAGGGCCCCGCGCCCCAGCTGGGTGCACAGCACATGCCAGTTACATATGAGCCACCTGCAGAACAAGGCTGAGGGAGGGGAGGCTGGGCCACAGGAGGGAAAGGGGGTCCAGCTGCTCCTACCTTGGCTGGCATCAGGCTGCTGAGAGCCCAGAGGAAGAGGGGGTGAAGACTCAGGGAGCTCGGTCGCAGGGTGCTCGGCCACTGGACAGATGATGAACCATCTCTTCCCCGTGTGCAGAACTAGAAGGCAGGGCAGAAACTGAGCCAGTTGCTCCCGCGGCCAGCCCTCGCCCTCACCAATGGAGGCACTGGGGGCACGCGGGGATTCACGAGGAAGGGCATGGGTGGGAGCCCCTGTCCCCAGCCAGGACCCTCCAGGGCTCCGCTCTGTGAAGCCAGGGGCTCCCAGACCTCTGCAGGCTAGGTGGCCTGGGGAGGCGCTTGTGACCTCCCCATGGCAGGGGTACAGGGCTGAGCCCTTGAACACTCGCCTGTCCTCAGAGCAGGTCACGCTGCCATGGGGGCCCTGCAGGTGGTGTGACCCACGTTGCACCCAGGCCAGTGCAGGACACCCACACACACCACGGGGGGGAGGGGGGGAGGGGGGGAGCTCAGGGTAGGGGCTGGGCCTCCACACCACGCGCTGCCAGAGCTCCTACCACTCCCTGGGGTGTAGCGGCACTCAGGAGCAGGTGAACCTACCGTTTTGCTGATACACCGGCGCATTCTCCTGTGACTGCCGGCCCTCCTGGAGGGGGAAGGGTCAGGAGTCAGCCGACGGGACGGGCTGACTCCTGCACGTCCTCCCTGCATCTCACCTCCCATCACGGGCCTCCCTGCACACCCCCGTTTCTCACCTCCCCACCGCCCAGGCCACCGGCCCCCACGTGCGGTGGGCTGGCCCCCGGATCAGAGTTGCGGTCGGCATCCGTGTCCTCACTCAGCATGTCCTCGGCCTTGTCCATGACGTCCTTCATCTGCTCGATGAAGGTCTCGCGCTCGGCTGGCAGGATGAAGTCGTGCTCCACCTACGAGGCACGCAAATGTCCTCAGGGGGACAGGGGCGCGGCTGCCCCACCCTGCTGACCACTCTGATTCCTGGTCTGCCCAGACACCAGGGGACACCAACCAAGCCCTGGCCTGTACTGGGGGTGACACGGGTCGGCGAGGTGGTCCCCGGATCCCACTAAGTCATGCTGAGGGCCAGCTCTACAGAGAGCAAGCAGTGACCAGGCTGGAGGCCCTGAGATGGAGGGGGAGGGGGGAAGGGCACAGCCCCCAACTCTGGGGGCAGCAGGCAGCCAGGCAAGGCAGCCTCACCATGTAGGTGGCGATCTCATCTGGCGCGTCCCCGTCAAGGTCGAACTTGAAGGTCACCATCTTGTGGTTATGCGTCTCCAGCTGGCACTCGACCATCTTGTCCCCGGTGTTACACACCTGCCGAGGTAGCTGGGGGTCAGGCAGCGGCCGTGCAGGGGCCCCGCAGCCCACCCAGGCTCCGGGCACTCACGTTGAGGATGGTGAGCCGGGGCCGGCTGCTCTTCTCGGCCCGGGAGCGTACGCGCGTGGACCGGCGGTGGTGCTTGCGGGAGCCTCTGCCCTCCAGCCTGCCCCCGCCGAAGGCACCCTCGCAGCTGTCACTCAGCTCTTTCCCGGAAGTGGCGTCCGAGCCGCCGTAGCTGCGTGGAAATCAAGAAAACTGTGTGACGGACACCCGGGGCTGGGGGCGGCCGGCAGGTGGTCCTTGCCCAGGAAGCAGGACTCTGTGAAACCTGGCTATGCTCGGTCCTGGAGCTGGCCCACTCGGCAGGGACCCACAGGGCTATGTCCAGGGCCCCCAGATCCCATCCTGAGGGGACTGCCCAAAACTCCGCCACGGCTTTGGGGTCTTCCATGTGTGCAGCAGCGAGGGCCAGATGCCAAGCCTATGGGGGTCAGTGCCTGGGCCCCAGGAGGGTGGGATGCAAGGTCACCTGCTGCTGAGTTAGCTGAGAGGCAGCATGCATCAGACGCAGCAGCCCAGGGCTCGGGACCCATGACACTCTGCCTGGCCCAGGCCCACCACCTCCCCCCTCTGCGACTTCTGTCTTCTAGAACCTTCCTGGCACCCAGGCCAATGCCATGACCCAGACAGTCAGAGCAGAAGAGCCCTGATGAGCAGGGGACCCAGGCGGTCAGCCCTGCTCGTGCGGGAGAGGGACACTGGGCGGGGCCACAGGGTTACCTGTCACAGTGCTGCGGGGGGCCGGGCGGCTTCTCCTGCGGGGCTTGCTCCTGCGTCAGAAGGGGAGGGGAAGGGTGAGTCACAACCGGCCCCTGTGGCTCAGGGCGTGTGCCTGAGCGTTCCACCCCCCACAGCTGGCTGCACCCCTAACCACAGTACGGACAAGGACAGACGGTGGCCGCGCCGGCTCCAGCCCTGTCGGAGCTCTGGAGCTAAGGGGGTGCCTCAGAGCAAGGGGACAGTTCCTTCCCCAAACCCTGAGACACGCCGGGGGCCCGGCTTCTCACAGCTGCAAACCCAGCACTCCAGGCCCACCAGGCCCATCACGCAGGCCACCCCCTCCTGCCCTGAAGGAAGACGGAGCAGTGCCCCCGGCAGCCTGAAACCCAGCTGTGCAGCCCCTGTGGCCCACGCCCTGGGTCTCAGCGAGGCCCCAAGAGACGGTGCACGCTGCAGGGTCGGGCGAGAGGGCACAGAGAGCAGGGGCACATACCTCTGGCGCAGGCTCCACGGTCAGCTGGACGGGGGGACAAGGGCCCGCAGTCACGGGCCCGTTGGGGGGCAGCGGGTCAGCGGGAGGCGGTGCTGTGGTGCCCAGCACAGGCAAGCTCTGGGCAGCGGCCACCACTGGCGGCACCGGGGCGCCAGGCAGCTGAGGCAGTTGTTCAGGGGCCACGGGCTGCGGGGCGTCGGGCAGAGGCGGGGAGAGGACGGCGGCGGCGGCGGGTGGCACGGGCACGGCGGGCGGGACAGTGGGCGGCCCGGGCACAGGCACAGGCACAGTGGGGACCTGGGCGGTGACGTCCACCGTGTAGGAAGGCGGGTGGCCGAGCAGAGTCTGGGGACACAGGGGACAGAGAATCAAGCCGGGACGCTCCCACTGAGACAAGCAGGCAGGTCCCTGGTCCGCAACACGCAGACCCCGGGGTGCAGGCCATGCAGACGCCCCCAGGCCATGCAGACCCCCTTCCTTCTCCAAACTGCCCACGGCCCCCCAGGCTAGCCCCAGGCTCTGGGCATGCTAGTGGACACATCTGGCACGACGATGACAACGAGAGGAACAGTTTTGTGGGAGCTGCCAGCTTGCCCGGGCGCTGCCCACCCCGGGAGCCTGCACCCCACATGCCTGGAGACTCTCCGGCCTGAGCAGTGCTCATGGGCCCACCGTGTGCTGCCACCAGCTGGCCGGCGTCGGAGCCATGAGGTCTGAGTCACCAACAAAGCACACAGCCCAGCACCAAGCACAGTCCTTGCCACCATGCCCACCCCCTCACCACCCCGCCCCCACCCCACGTGCTCCTCTGCATGCTGCCCTCAGCCGCGCCCTGCTTCTGGCTCATCATGGAGCCTTGCTTTACTGGGCACGGAGCGGCAGGGACCACCTCCCCCCCCACCGGGCGTAAGCAAAGCAGAACCATGACAAGCCTCCCACCCCCCACCCTGCCCCGCACCCCAGCTCTGCTCCCACCCAGGGCAGGCCGGGAGCCAGCCGGGCCGCCTGCCACTCTGGCTGCCAGAGGCCTCCCAGTGCAGGCGGTTACCTGGCTCCCCGTGCCCACGGCCGGGGCACCCTGCTCAGGAAGGTGGGCGACACCCGGCGGGTGGGGCTGCGGCAGCGTGGGGGGTGCCGGCTGGATGGGGGCGGCGCGCAGGGTCTGTGCCACGCGGAGGGGCGAGGCCGGGACATCGCCGGGCACCATCTGGGGGAAGGCCGCTGGGTACACGGGCTGGGCCGGGAGCTGGGCCACGGCGGGGTGGAGGGACAGCGCGGCCACGCCCTGCGGGGCCACGGCCAGCAGGGGGATGGCGGTGGCGGTGGCCATGTTGGGCATGATGGTGGGGCAGGGGACGGCCAGCGGTGCGCCGGGCGGGTGGGGCAGCTTGACGGCCTGCAGCGACAGGGCCGGGGAGGCGGGCAGGGGGCTGGCGGCGGCGCTGAGCGGGAGGCTAGGCAAGAGGACGGCCGGAGAGAAATACTGAGAGGGGGGAGGCGCGGGGGGCCCGCTGGCAGCGGGCAGGTCGGGGAGGGCAGCGGGGAGGCCGTCGACGGCCGCCAGAGGGGCGACGGGGGGAGCGACAGGCAGCGGAGGCATCTGAAAGAGACGGGGAGCAGGTGAGCCCTGGCCTGCCCCGCAGCCCACAGGCACCTGGCGCCAGGCAACGCTCAGCAGAGCAGGGAGGGCAGCGGGGGCCTGGCAGAAGGATCGTGGACGGCGCCTGGGTGGCCACTGAAGCCAGCCTGGGGCCCTGAGCACTGGGCGGCTCTGGAAGGACAACAGCTTGACAGACCACCCACCGTCATGGTCAGCATCCTCCTCAGAACGGCCCGGCCACCGGCGCCCAGACCCCAACCCCCCATCCCCCGCTGCAGTTCTACCCGGCCACATACGCTCAGGAGAACGCCTGCCCCCCACCCCCACCCCCAACAGGGGCGCCCAGCCCGCCTTGCCTGCAGCCCTCGTCCCACCCCCCACCCCCGATGGGCCCACATGTCAAGGCCCCCACACTTCTGGCTCTCCAGGACAGGCACGAGAGCATCCCACCTGTGTGCTGACCAAGCACGGGAGAGACAACGCCAACCAACGTGCCTTTGAAAAGCAACTGGAAACCGTGACCACTGACCGGCCAGGTGGGAGCTTAAGGCACTGAGAATTGCCACTCAGTCCAGGCAGGACAAGGACAAGGCCACAGGCCAGCATCAAAGCCTTCTGCGTCAGACAGCCCTTTCCAGCCCAGCCCTGCTGCCCCCGCCAGACAGGGTGGGCTGGGTTGGGCTGGAGCCATTGGGGCCGGAGAACCCCAGTGACCACAGACGAGACGGGCCCCAGAGCACACAGTCACGCGGGCAGATACCTGAGCAGGGACTTGAGCCAGGGGCTGTAGGGGAGCCGGCGGCATCTGCAGAGGCTTCAGCTGAGCCGGGGCCACCACCTGGGAGGTGGGAGCCAGATACGGGGGCAGGTGGGAGGGCACCGGCTGCAGAGGGGCCACGGGCTGCGAGGGCAGGGCCTGCGGCACGGGCGCTGGCTGCACCAGCGGCGGAAGCTGGAGAGAGAGAGAGAGAGAGAGGGAGGGCATCCCTCAGACCATCGTCCTAGCGAGGGGCACCCCAGGAGAGCAGAGGGAGTCAAGACACCAACCTATATCCACGCGCACACTTGTGTGGGCGTGATACAGACATGTGAGTGTGCACGCATGGACATATGCACAAACACAAGCTGCTCATAAGGCACACACGTTCACATGCACACAGGCGCACACCTCAGGCTCATACACGTGTATCCAGGTACACACGTCCATACACCTATCACACACACACACACACACACACACACACACACACGTGCACATACAGCCGCACTCATATCCACGCACGTGTGCCTCATCTTCACAACCACGTTTGCACACACATGTGCACCCATGCACATATGTTCACACATCTCTGTGCACCCACACATGCCTGGGGGTACCTAGATCTGCCCAGCCTGGCCGGCTCCCATCCGGGGCCCCAGGACTGCAGAGAGACCGAGCCCCTTTTCCACGGGCTCCCAGAACTTGGGAGACTGGAGAGGAACTCGGGCCAGCTCCTGGGCAGTCTCAGTCAGCACAGAGGGCTGGACAGAGGCACAGGGTGGGAGCTGGACACTGGCACCGCCACCGGGGGGAGGGGGTAGGGGGGCAGCCCACTCTCACCTGGTGGGTGGCAGGTGCCGGCTGGCTTTGGCCGGTCGGCACAGAGGTGCTGGGCTGCGGCATCACAGGGGTGAAGTTCAGCACCGGTTCTGGAAAATGCTGCGGGATCTGAGGGTGGGCGGGGGGTGGGACGGGGCCCACGGACAGGCCGGGCTGCAGAGAGCACCAGAACACGTGCTTAGACGCCGGCCAGGCTGGGCAGGGCGGCCGCCTCCCGCCACCACAGCCTGGACTCCTCCTGGGCCCCACCCTGCCCCCACCCACTGTCCCACTGGAGATGCTGTTTCGGGAAATGCGGTTCTGCGGAAGCCCAGGGATATGGATCGCCCTGAAATTAAGGGTGGCTAATTCCCAGCCAGAGAATGTTCTGGAACATGAGTGCCACAGACGTTTATGCAACTGCGAGAAAGGACCAACGGCTCGTGTAACTGTGGAGATGTGGGGAAACCAGTATGTGAGTGGGGGGGGTGGGGAGGGAGGCTGGGGGTGGGGGGGAGACGCAGATGTGTTTCTATGATACACAGCAAGTGTGTGTGCTGTCGAGACCTACACAGTGGGACTAAGCACTGGAGAAGCATGTGCCACAGACCACACCTCCAGTGACCTGGACGCCAGGCCTCAAGGGCTGGGACACAGACAAGAAGGAACAGAAGAGCTGGAGCAACAGGACAACGGGGAGGGCGCTTGCCTTGCACATGGCCAACCCAGGTTCAATCCCCGGTATCCCATCTGGTCCCCTGAGCACCGCCAGGAGTGACTCCTGAGCATCACTGGGTGTGTCCCCTCGCCCCCAAAAGAAAAAAGAATCAGAGGTGAACCCTCTCCATCTCTGACGCCTAAAAACTGCTGTCAATCTGCCCCTGTCAGGTGCAACTTCAGCTGCACTGGGCTTGCTTCCCGGGCGGGAGGGACACTACGGATCCCAGCCGACGTGGACAAAGCTCTCTGCTCGGGGCCATGCCTGGGTGCACAGCAGGTCCTCGCAGAGGGCTCCTGCCTAGGCCAGGGGACAGCGGCCACCTACACACTTTCTGCTCCTCACGGGAACCATCAGAGATGCACAGGAGGGTGAGCCCGGTGCCCTGGGCACTCACCCCACAAGCCCTGACCAGGCTCCCCGGACCAGAAGGCTGAGAAGAGCGGCCATCCCGCCCCACCCTCACCCCGGTCTGCTCCCTGTCCACTGCTGCTGGTAAAGAGGCAGGACACGGAAGAGAGTCCCCCAGGGTCTGTCCAGGGTGTCACCAGGGCCTGTCCCATGGCCTCCCTCCAACTCAAGCCCCTGACTGTCCACTAGGAAACGCCGACCCCCTGCCAGGACAGAGGTCGGGTCAGGAATAGCCCCCTCAGCCTCCATGCTGACCAGCAGCCCCCTTCCAACTGCCCCCGGTCACAGGCCTCCCTTCACTGCAGCCCCGAGACAGAAGAACTGCTGGTGCCAAGAGCAAGTGAGCCCCCTGCTTCTCCGAGAGGCTTTTGGGGTCTTCCCAAGGGCGGGGGAGAGGAGAGAGAGGTCATGCCAGGGGCAGCCTGCATGGGGGCACCTACACACCAGCCAACATGCTCCGACCATGGCCCCGGGCCTGCTTCTGGGGCGTAGAGCCAGCCTCACCTCTCTGGGGCTGAGCACAGAGGACTGGGAAGTGACCGGTCCAAGCTGAGGGCAGGGAGATGGGGACTCAATGAGGAAATCGGTTCCAGAGGCAACCTCCAGTTCACAGTAGGCGCTTGGCGCCTAGGCTCAGCGTCTCACAGCATTCCGCAGTGCGAGCACGGACAGGCCCTCCAGCCCAACTCCTCAGGCCAGCTGAGCAATGGCTGACAGACACGCCCAGCAGGCCCCCAGGTCCCCCAGGAAATGGGCCTCTCTGCCACCCTGGCCCAGGCAAGCCCGGCAGCATGAACACAGCCAGGCACCAGCAGAGGTCACCACCCACTGCACCCAGACCCTTCCAGGACACACACACCTGCAGCTGTCCTCCCACCAGGTCCCCGGAGTCACTCACCATGGGGGGCTGCGGGTAGGCGCCCAGCGAGGGCACGCTGTGCGGCAGGGCAGGGCCCTCACTCGCGCTTACAGGGGGGCTGCCGGTGCCCTGGGCGTCCCCCAGGGAGCTCAGTACCACCAGGGAGCTCTGCTGGCTGCTCTGCGAGTCCGAGTAGACGGTGGAGCCCTGGCCGCTGTCGAAGGTGCTGTCCGCTGCGGGGGACAAAGGACGGTTCAGAGGGGGGCCCACATCGCCCACGAGGGGCCGAGCTCCCGCGTCCATGCACTTCCTTCTGCAGAACACAGACGTGGCTGCAATTCCAAGTCACACGCCGGGCTCCAAGAGCCACGGATCACCACCGGCTACAAGGAGGAGGGTGGGGAGGCCCTGCAGGCCGCGGGGAGACCACCCCCAAGCGCCGGTGCCTGGCAAATGTCTCACGTGGACACTCTGGGTTCCCTGGGGGGGGGGGGGGGTCCCTTACTCAGCTCCCGACAAAGCAGCCCTGGCTTGCAGATGACCATCAGGGGCACCTCCCTGCCCCGAAACAAACGCCTGTTGGAAGGCACAAGCAGGCCAGAAGCCGCATGGAAGGTCCAGGCGGGAAGGGAGCGACCACTGCTCTCAGCCCCCTCACCTCACCAGCACAGAGCACAAGGCCGGAAGGTGGGGGGCCTTGCCCGGGAAGGCCAGAGGTCCGCTGAGACCGCCAGACACCCTCCCCAGGGGTTGCTCCACTGCCCAGGGCAGCCCTTGAGGGGCCAGTCACACTGTAGTCAGCCCAGGCAGTTCACTCAACCTGCCACTGGGGACAGAGCAACCCACACAGGGCACACAGCTGTGGTCCTCGGGCGAATCTGAGACACAGCCAGCAAACAGGTCACCTGCACAGCCGGGCCAGACAAGAACAAGAAACCAAAACCCAGCTTGAAGTGTCACTTTCTAGTTCGCTGCTGCCACAGTCCACACAGGAGATAGGGTTTGCTCTCTGGGCCCCACCGTTGCTCCTAACAGGGCTGAATTTCCACCGGCAGCACTTCCTCTGCTTAGAATCCACGCAAAGTGCACACGAATCTCAGTGGCCCCACAGAGAAGGGTGATCAGAGCCCGTTCTAAGCCGGGAAGACACGAGAACACTGAGGGGCATCGTGCAAAGCCAATGAGACAAGGGACTCCGATTTCTAATGAAGTGGCTGTGAGTCATGTCCCTTCAGAGAAGGTATGCAACAGATCCAATATTCCAAAGGGAGTGACACTAACCATCTGGTGACAGTTGACGTTTCCAAGTGACCCTGTTTATTGCTTGTCCAATTACATACTAATTTCAAAAGCCATTTTCAAGAGCGTCTGACAAGTTTGCAGGCATGCCACCGGAACACGCTCTCCTGTGGGCTGGGACGTACACTACTGGTGCTACTACAGGACATCCAGCAGGCAGTCACCAAGAAGAGGCTTGCCACACCTTCAGGTGCTGAGAAGTCGACTTGCACCCTGTCACTGGCTACCAAGCCCTGCTCCGGTGACACACATGCCATCTGCCACACCATCGGCTCAGAGTTAACACACGCAAGTGGTCTGCCGTCGTCACAGGTAATGGGCTAAGGGCAATGAGGGGCAGACAGGCTGACTCCGAGATGCAGGAGCATCTGTACCAGCACACGGGTGCTGCCTCGGCAGGTGGCCATACATACACTCGTGTGTACAGGTGTACTTAGATATCTGTGTGCATGTGAGCACACACTCGTGAGTGAGCAAGCACACATGCTGGGGGAAGTACAGGGGTGCTTGCATCTGTGGACACGCACACATATGCTGGTGAGCTCGTGTGCGCTGCACGTGTGTGCGAGCGTGCAGAGTATGCAGCCCTGTCTCTAGAGTTCAGTTCAGAGACTGGTGACAGTGCCCGCAAGGATGATGAACTGGCCTTGTTCAATACCCTCTGGCACCCGGGGGCTGAAGAACAAGCTTCATAGAAGAGACAACAAGTACGTGAGTGAAGACCCTGAGAAGCATTCTGCATCGGACAGAATGGGGGGTCTGATGGCAGAAGGACCGGGCACTCACAGCTGCCTCTCAGATCACACCTGGCCTCTCTGTGGTCATTTCTGGAACCACGCCCTGACTTCAAAACTCTTCCACCGAGTTTTGATGCCTCTGTTGGCCTCCACATGAGTGACCGTCTTCAAACGTTTGTCAGAAAATAAGAGTGATGATGTAGCAGTTTTCCTCTCCAGAGCAAACAAGACCAGGCTCCGGGGAAGAGAGTGTCCTGCAGAGTTGGTCGGCCGCTGGCCAGAATGAGACAGCACCCTCTGAGGAGCATCTGGCTGTTTTGGTGGTGGATGACAGAGCTGCCCAGAGAATTGAGCAGACCCCTCCAGCTGCACCCGCGGATGACCTGAACCGGCTGGTGGCCAGCTGAGAAAGGCCACAGCCCCCAGCCCCAAGTTATGCGACTCGAGGGGGGGCACCCTCCACTCTCCCATGAAGGCACCCGAGACCCCCAGGGTGGGTTCCAGAAGACAGTCAGCCGAGGGTGGGCGGGGGGCAATGCTGCTGCCCGTGATGTCCAAGCCTGGATGTGCTGTGGGCAGGGGCTGGGACGGGAAGAAGTTGTGCAGGCCACATGGGCAGAGGCTCGAGGGCTTCAGGGCCCAGCTGGCCTGAGAGAGGGTTCCTGGGCCTGAACCCCACCCCACCCCCGGCATCGAGCTCGGCACGCTGTGACCCCGCAAGCCCGTTTCGGCCCTGACTTGCCCGCTCCCGCCGGGGCTGCACTCACAGGCCAGGGAGGTGGCGCTGGCGGGCAGCGCAGGCGGCAGCAGGTGCTGGTCAGCTTCAGGCTCCTCGGGCTCCGGAGGCCCAGCCGGCGCATGGTAGGTCACCTGGACCTGAAGGGGCACCGGGGGGCCCTTGGCCTTCTCGGGGCTGCCAGGGTCCGGCGGCTCTGGGGGCTGCAGCGCGGGCCAGATCCTCTCCCGCCGCCATTGGATCAGCGCCACTCGGTCGCGGATGGATTTGGCCACGATCTTCACGTCGCTCTCGTGGAAGAAGCCCGACTCGATCTGCAAAGGGGAGTCACGTCCTGAGTCGGGCCCCCTGCAACACCCTCACCCACATCTCCCAGGGGCACCCAAGAGCCAGAGGGTCGGCAGGCCGCTCAGTCCCGGAGCTGGGCGGTGAGGGGCCAGGCCAACCCAGCCTCCTCCCGCAGGCCCGGCTCCCAGGGCAGCACTGTCACCCGGGGCCCGGCCTGGCCAGGGGCCTCTCTGAGAGCTGCAACGCGGACAGGGAGCCAAGCCCAGCACTGGCCCCTAATCCCCCAGGAGGCCTGGAGCCAGGGGAGCTGGCCTCCTCAGTAACCCGAGCCCCATGTGACACACAGAGCAAAGCGGAGCCAGACACGCTCAAGCGAGCTGGTGAAGGGCTGCCGGGTGACATGGCACTTGGGGAGGACGCTGGCAGTGAAACCGCAGACCCACACAGAAGCCAGGTGCACCCAAGAAAGGGTTTTCCAGACAGGAAACCCAAGGGCACCCGGATGTGCCAAGAAGAGTGTGAAGAGCAGTCAGTGTGAACTGTGGTTCCGATGAACAACACACACACACACGCACACACACACGCACACAAGTGCACCTGTGTACGTACACAGGCACAACAAAGGCACATACATGCATATACACATGCACACACGTATACAACATACAAACACACATGCACACACACACAGTGGTTGCAGCACATACCCAAGTGTGTGGCGTGTGTGCTGAGTCACCAACTCGGCCAGCCTGGAGCCAGTGTCAGGTCCACTCTGAGCCCAGGCGCCCAGCAAAACACAGGCTTCAAAGCAGAGACCAAGGGTTGGAAAACCCCTTTATGGTGCCAGATAGGAAGGGTGTAAGAGACAAAGCTGGGACCTCCCCCCCCACCAGATCAGGGACATAATGAATGGCAGGTGATGGTGAGGTCGCAGTGGACGCAGCCACAGGCGTTGCATAAGGGAAGAAGTAGCCAGCGGGCAGTAAGGGGACACCAGGGCAAGGCGAGCGGAACAGGCTTCGTGCTCCCTGTCGCGTAGCCCACATCCCTGCCCCGCAGAAGCTTCCGGGTCCTCCCTGCACACCTGCAGGCAGTGGCGGCCATTCTGCCCGCCAGGCTCACCAGTCCCGGCAGGCACGGGGCCCGCGTTGGGGCGAAGGCAGGGCTGGGGCCAGGAGGGGGTTCACGGCCGTGCCCAGCGCTGGCCAGCAGGCGCCCGGGGCTGCGGCTGCAGCAGAGAGAGTGGCCGGCAGCCGCAGCCGCGTGTCTATTTTCTGCCCGTGACCCACTTTCCCTTCCGTCTCCATCTTCACAGTCAGCCCCCCACGAGCCTCTTCAAGGTGTTTCTTCTATTTTTTCCCAAACGGGGGAGAATTTAGCCATATTCTGGGCCATAGTGGAACGTCTCGTTATCCAGAGGCCCTTGGCAGCAGGTCTGAGGACGCCTGGGGGAGGGGCGGCCCTGCCCTGCCCCCAGCTCTCCCAGGGTCCCAGCCGCAGGTGCCAGGCGCCTGCCTCCAGTGGCACAGCTGCCAGCCACCACAGCATCACCACGTTCTGGCCCCACGCCGACACCCCAAGTCTCCAGAGAGCCCAGCGGAGGGGACCTCAGCACCAAGCTCAGTGGTTCTCAGAAGCAGGGCCGTGTGCAGAGGGCGGGGCAGGGGGCGCGGCGGGGAACAGGCAGAGGGGCTCTCATGTGTAGGAAAGAGACTCGCCACCCGTCACTCCGTGGTGGGGGCCCGGGGTGCGGGGAGTCTGTGGGCCCAGCGTTTCCTTTCTGAGGTCACCTTTACGTGCGTTTACAACTGACAGTCCCTGGGGGCCGTCAGCCCCGGAACGACTGTGTTGCAATGCTTTGCTGAGTTGCCGCTTGGCAGAGAGGACACTCGGCAACCTCAGGGAGGCGGCCCACAGAGGCCACTCGGTCCCTGGCCAGCCTGCAGGCCTATCGGGAGCCCGGGAAGGAGCCCAGGCCTGCAGGGTCTGCCTGGGAAGGGCCAAGCTCCCGGGCAGCATGACAGTACATGGGCCCACTATGGCCCGGCCCCCCGGGCGCCAGTCTGCGTGTGCAGCTGGGCTCACTGTCCCCTGAGCAGTGCCAGGCTCTAGTCAGCAGACAGCCCAAAGGCTGACGACAACGGCCATCCAGTCCCGTCAACTTCCACATGTGGACAATGTAGGTAGAAAGCACACGTGCCACGTGGATCCCCAAACGTCACGGCTCTCTCAAGCATGCTCAGAACATACATGTCGGGCTTGGGCTGCACACAGTGATGAACACAGGGCGCTGTCCAGCTGCTGTCCCTCTGTCTGAACAAGCAGGGAGGGGCCACAGCCCCCCACCACTGCCCAGCATGGGGGAGGCCTGTAGGAGATGCTGGGCCCTGGGAGGCATGTGGCCTGTGTGCCTCCCCAAGTCAGACATCTCACTCCTTCACTTTTTTGTGTTTTGGATTACACCAGCAGTGTTCAGGGGTTACTCCTGGCTCTGCACTCCGGGATCACTCGTGGCGGTGCCTGAGGGACGAGATTAGGACAACGGAGCTGCCTGCATGTAAGGCAAACGTCGGCTACCTGCTGTCCTACTGCTCTGGCCCTTGGCCATTCAACCTGAACTGTGGTTTTTTTTGTTTGTTTGCTTTTTGTTTGCACATGGTGATGCACAGGGGCTACTCCTGGCAGTGCTCAGGGGACCATATCGGATGCCAGGATTTGAACCTGGGCTGGCCGCGTGCAAGGCAAATGTCCTACCTGCTGTACTATCACTCCAGCCCCTTCGGTCATTCAACTTGACAAACACAACCGGATGCCCAGAGGAGGGCAAGTTGAAAGGGTATACAAGAGGGGAAAGGCAGGGTGTGGCCCCGGGGCCCCTAACACACAGCACCTGTCCAGGAACCCAGCTGAGGCTACATGCTGGGGTCCCCCAGACCCAGACCTGGGCTCACAGGTGCCATGGGTAGAGGCAAGGCAGACTGTGGTGCCAGAACACACAGTGGCCCAAAAGGAGCCCAGGCACGCGGCAGCCCTCTGCCGGGGGAGAAGCTCTACCATGGGTCAGGGAGGCAGCCCTGGGCACCTCCGCGAAGTGTAGGGCACGGAGGAGGGTGGGCATGGCAGGGAGGAGACAGGGAAGGGCAGGTCTGCTGCTTGCAGGCTTCTAAGCCCCCCACGCCCTCCCACCACCTGGGCAGTACTCCCCTCCAACCCTCGGACCACAACACACGCCCACAGGCCAAGGCTCCGGGCCGGTAGCAGACGCAGGACCAGGCTCAGGATGTGACTCTAGAGCCCAGCAGAAAGCAACAGGCGACACAGAGCCGGGAGAGTCAGCTGACCATCACGCACAGACCAAGAGGCGACCCCCGACACGGCCCCTCAGAACACAGGCTGCAGCCAGCAGCCAGGAAGGTGCAGGATGCTCCCACTCAGGGACACAATGCAGCTGCAGGCAGGATGTGGGTCCGGGCAGCACCACCTCCCCTTCCCAAGCCCTGGAGCCCAGTGTAGCCCCCGTCCGCACCCACCAGGCTCTGTCCACCTCCCGGCCTCCACGGGCCCTGAGGGGCTTCAGCCTCAGCCCCCGCAGACCCCCACGCCCCCCCCCCCCCACACACACACACAGCTTGCACGGCGGCACCTGCAGGCTGAGCCTAGAGGCACGGTGGTCAGCAGTTCTGCTAACGGCATGCCCTTCCCGATTCCTTGCCCACCCCAGGGCAGCCACCCCCACTCTCACCCAGCCAGGTGCCCCAGGCGGGCCAGGTACACTGGACACACCCGAGACCACAAGCATGCACACCCCCGCCATGACTGACCGCCCAGCCTCCCACAGGACGCAGTCCTCCAGGGATGAGGAAGGAAGGGTGCGCCCCCCCCCCCACCCCCCCCCCGCAGAGGCCAGCCCGGGGCAGAGGCAGTCAGGCCTTTCCTGGGCCCTCAGATGCCCCCATCCCCCACCCGCTGGAACGCCTGTGCACAGCTGGCCTCTGTGGCCACCCACTCTGGCCAGTCGCTGGACAGCACCCACCCCTGCCCTGCCAACCGCACACCCCGTTACCATTTCCTGGGCCACATCATCGGGCGTCTCCTTCTCCAGGTCAAAGGTGAACTCGATGGCCCCATTGTCCTTGGGCTTGCCCTTCAGCTTCTTGGGGTCCTCGACCCAGAGCCGCAGGGCGATGGTAGACTTCCTGCCGTGGTCCTCCTCAGCCAGCTCCACCCGCACGCCCGTGTCCTCCGCAAAGAAAGCATGACTCAGCAGGTCCTTGATCTCGTACCTGGAGGCACAGCAAGGAGGGGCCGTGTCCCGGGAGCTGGGCTGAGACCCCCGCGGGCCCCCCATGGCACTCAACAGCCTGGCCCCCGTGTGCCTCACTGCAGGGGAGAGAAGCCCCGCAGGTGCCCCACCCCGGCACCCTCCTGTGCCCCAGGGGTCCAGGAAGCAGGGCCGTTGCAAGGTTTCAGGGGCACCCCACGACCCCCAAGATGCCAAGATAGTGTCCTCCCCCACCCTGGTGCTGCTCCAGGATGTGCTCCCCTCACACAGCTCCCTCTCCCGCACTCACCGCTCCTCCTTGTTTTTGCAGATACACTCCCCGATGATCTCCTTGATTTCAGGGTCCACCACCTTCTCAAAGCTGGCTGGCTTGATGCCCTGGGAGGGACAGAGCTGGGTCACCCGGCACAGAAGGGGCCGGGCCAGCAGCTGTCCCTTCCTGCCTCTCCCCAGCCCGGGGCTGGCCCCAGACTCGCACCCAAGGAGCCCTCCCCAGGGCACAGCCTGACTGAGGGGCCGGAGACCCGCCAGGCCGTCCTCACACAGTGACCTCGGGGCAGGGCGCAGGGGCGTGGGGAGGTGTGTGATCCCCAGGAGCCTAGAACTCGCCAGCTCAAGGGGGTGGGGGCAGGGATGGGCTGTGTCACGCGGTGGCCCCTGAGGGCACCAAGCACCGGGAGGATGGGGCTGGGTCCCCCAGGAGAAGCAGGGGCTGCCCAGGGCTTATGTACCAGAGGCAGAGGGTTGGACAGTGAAACACAAGGCCAAGGCCATCCTGCCCTTCCGGGAGAACCTCCCGGAAAGATTCATCAGGGTTGCACTGAGTGGCAAGAAACGGCACAACTTCCCCACAGAGGGGAACAGAGGGCAGCCATAGCCCCTTCCCCATGTCCCCGCCTGTGGGAACTACTGGGCATCCTGTGACAGCAGAGAGTGGGGGGGAGGGGGGAGGCAGGAGGGGGGGTCTGGCTTCTCGGGACCCAAGCATGAGCCTACACTCCCTTTCCGGTTCTGAAAGGCGCAACCCCCACTGGAGCGAGGGCGGGACCAGGGCCTCAGGGAGGGACCCCATGTGACAGGCACGTGGATCCGGGTCGGACACACACATGCGGCCAACTGCCCTGAGCCCGAAGCACCCAAACCCCCTGCATCGAGGGCACCAGGCAAAGAGGCAGCTGTCAACATCCTTTCCCTGGCTCCTGGAGGGCGGGTGGAGGTGAGTCTGTTTCCTGGGCCCTAGTGGGTGGCAGGCCTGGCACTGAGGACTAGTGGGAGGGGATCTGGGCAGGAAGTAACCCCACCCCGTGCAGGGGCTCACAGCTCCACATGGCCACGCTCTGCCCATGGGGTCTCAGTGACCTGGACCTTCCTCACCCCTGGAGGTCTGCTGCCCCCATCCTCTCTGCTCACCCATACCCGTCTGTGGGCGTCTGACCTGCCACCACCAGTGCCAGCGGCTAGGTGCCCTGCCTGCCCCGTCAGCAACACAGGGAGAGTGAAACTCCCTGCGCATCTCTGGGACACAAATGACCTGGGCTCTGTGGGAGGCTCGGGTGGGGCGAGCTGCATGAAGTGTGCTTCCGCCCTGGGATGCAGCTGCAGGCCCTGGGGACCCAGCTGCCCTGACCCTCGCTGCCTCAGGCGCACAATGGGGGCGGGGGGATGGACACCACAAAGTAAAGTCAGCGGACGGGAGCCGAGAAGCCTGGGCGAGGCAGAGGGCGGGAAGACAGTGGTTCCGGGGTGGCCCAGGAGGATCCCGTGGAGGAACTGTGGCAGCACTGAGGTTCTGTACCACCGCCCCCCAACCCGAGGGCGTGTCCCACTGCCAGCCTGGGGAGCTGAGCAACTGCACGAGGCCCGGGTTCCCAGGAGTAAGAGACACCTGCCTCACGTGAGCTTAGAGGGCAGCAGGCACGCACACACACACACACACACACACACACACACACACACGGGCACACTTACATACATGTACAAAGGCAGGAAGGTACACGTGTACGTACACACACATGCAAGCATGCACACACACATGCACATGCACACAGGCGGGCACGCACACACATACACACGCAATGCTGGCACGCATGATCCCATGTAGGCCGGCACACACACCAGGGAGGCACAGATGCATGCAGGCACACACACGCACATGTGTACACACACACACACACGCACACCTATAGGCACGCGCACACACACTCCTGCTATAAGGTCTTGGCGCGCGATGCCTGGCAGGCCGCGGGACTCACACAGGTGACCTTGCGGTAGATCTGGGCGGCGTTCTGGCACTCCGAGTAGGGGTACTCCGAGGTGGCCATCTCCAGCATGCACATCCCAAAGGCGTACACGTCCACGGACTCGTCGTAGTGCTCCTCGTACATCTCGGGGGCCATGAACTCAGGGGTGCCTGTGCCAGAGCAAAGGGCGCAGGGTGAGCCGTGCAGCCCGGAGCCCCCTTCCCACCCCCAGCGCCACCAAAAGCCCAAGCCCCTGGGCTTGGCTGGGGGTGCCCCACAGACCCATGCCCCGCCCCCCAATCCTACCCAGGTGTGGGCCTGGGACAGGCTCGCTGCCTCTGCTGCTGCTGCCCTGCCAGAAACCAGGACTGCCCAGGGACGGGGCCGGGGCAGAAAGCCGCAGAGACCACCTAGGGAGCAGGAGGGTCCCAGGGAGCCCTCGTGGGATGGAAATGTCACCACGGACTGACTCAGGCTGAGCAGTGCCGGGCAGACAGGATTCACAGGGAGGCATCAGCTGCGGCAGTCACGCAGGGAAGCGGTGGCCCCCTAAGAGCAGAGGCCCCGAGGCAACATTTACCACGGGAGTCTGTGGAATTGGGACACGAGGCTCACACGAGACGCACACGGGATGGGGTGAGCGTGCCTGGCCCCATGGGCAGACTCGCAGTGCTGCGGCTGGGCTGGGCGGGCAGCACCACGGTCGCCACAGCCCCTGAACTCCGCCTAACACCACAGACCCCCCTCCCTCGAGCAGGGCCCACCCAAAGCCAGGGAGACACAGAGGGAGGGACAGCGATTGCTTTGGCTGCCTCCAACATCTGTTGTTGGCCTTGGAAGATTTTCAAAATCTTTCCCCCCACTTTTAAAAATCAGACACAAAATAGCACAAATTATTATATTAAAAACACATGATGCCTGGGGCCTGAGAGACAGATAGTGCAGTGGCAGGCGGTCCACCGGTCTGGTCCACAGCACTGCACAGGGTACCCCACGCCAAGCCGGGAGTAATCCGCAGGAATGGGGGAGTGGACCCAAATCACCCCCCCCAAAAAAAACCCCACAAAAAACAAACCCAAAAACACACGTTTTACCAAAACAGTTACAGAGACGCAGGTAGGGTACGTACAGACGATCTTAATCTGTGCTCATTTATAAAGTTGACTGAACAAATCATATGTTTAACGGAAGAGTTATTCACATTTTGAGTAAAAATGGAGAAGGCAAAAGTCACTTCAATGTATGTGTGTACATAGAGAATTCTGAAAGAGCTCGTTAGAACAGGGCATGTGGACGGAGAGAGAGAGAGTCCACGGACACGAGAGTTCTGAGCCCCGTGGCTGCACTAGCAGCGCTCAGGGATGGGGTGTGTCTGTCCACCAAAAGCACAGAAGGGAGACGCTCCCCAGGGAGCCAGCCAGTCCCACTCTGGGGGTGCAGGACATGGAGCTCTAAGTCGGGACTGGCTGCATGCTGTGAATGTAGCACTCAGCACGCAGCACTCAGCACTCCAACTCTTCCCAACCAGCACCTCAGCTGGGAACTCCGCATGTCCGTCAGAAGACACGGGCGGGCATGCACACACACTACATGTGCACTTAGGCACACACAGACTTACACACTCCGGCACATGTACTTACATGTATACAAATACAAACTAAACACTCAGACACACGCACGTACACCCTTCCATCCAGACACATGCAGTTACATACACATAGACACAGGCACGTACATCCTTCCATCTAGACACATGCAGTTGCATCCACACACAGACACAGGCACATACGTTCTTCCATCCAGACACAAGCAGTTACATACACACACAGACACACACACTTACACAAACTCAGACACAGACACATACACTCAGACCCACGGTCACACATACACACACGCTGAGACACCCACACACACTCACTAACTTGCATACCCTCTCACACACAGAGGGTTCCACGGCCCCGCCCCATCCTGTGGACACTCCTGCCCCACCCCCCGCCCCAGTATCACACTAATCACCTCCGGGGGCTGCAGCCTTCACTGAGAGAACACGAGCCGCTGACCGGACACTGGGGGGCCCCGGGGGCCAGCACGGGTCCACGCGGGGACGGGCTCACCTATCACGCTCTTAGCGAACGACGCTCTCTTGAGGGTGGCCAGGCCCAAGTCTCCTATCTTCACGGAGCCCGTGGGCCCGGTGATGAAGATGTTGTCGCACTTGAGGTCTCGGTGAATGATGGGCGGGGTCCGGGTGTGCAGGAACATCAGCCCCTTCAGGATCTGCCGGCACCAGCTGCGCAGCACCTTTGGCTTCATCACCTTGAAGCGCTTCAGGTACCTGGAAGAATGGGACAGGTGAGAAAGGGCTGCGGCCCTGTGGGGCTCCCGTGGGGCCGTGGGACTTGGGGGAGGGGGTGGGCTCGTGGGGAGTAGGTGTCCCAGCAGGCAGGCAGGCCTGTCCCCCTGCCCGCGGCCCTGGGCACTCACGTCTTCAGCGTCCCTGAGGTCATCAGCTCCGTCACCAGCACGATGCAGCGCTTGCCCCGGGCACTGGACTCCCAGAAGTCATAGAAGCGCACGATGTTGGGGTGCTGCAGGCCCTTCAACATCTCGGCCTCCTCCTTGAAGCGCTGCCTTTCCAGCTTGGTGAGCTTCCGGTCCTGAGGGAGGTGGGGGGGGGGCGGAGGTGAGCACACACCTGGGCGGGCACCTGCACACCCTCCCCGCCCAGTCTGCCACGGACGGACCCAGCGCCAGGCAGGACGAGCACGGTCTGGGGACCGGCGTGCAAGAGAAAGAGAGACCCCCACAGGAGAGGCACGGCTGCCCCTCCCACCGCTTCCCCGGAAACCCCGACCCTAAGTGCACGGCACCCTGGAAACAGCCCTCACCTCACCCCCACCACACCAGTGACACTCAGTGTCCTCCCTGTAGAAGTGAAGCAGACAAATCAGGGTGGCAGGGGGGGAGGGGCGGGTGCTGGCAATGAGGTCTTGGGAAGCAATAAAAAAGAGATTGTTCGAAGGAGTGACTCGGTCGCACGCTCCCAGGCCCTCTAAAAGCAGGAAGGCGGGACCCAGTCTGTGGAGGCAGAAACTGAAGCGGGCCCTGGCCATGGCTGAACCCCTCTGAAAGGAAAAGCTTGGGCAGGAAGCAGAGGCTTTTTTTAAAAAAATTTTTATTAGTGAAACACCCAAGAATAGCCGAGATAAGTACCAGGAGGTTCACTCCATGGCTGGCAAGCCAGCCGTACATGGTAGGGGGAAAGGCAGCTCAGACAGAGAAGGGAGCACCAAATAAAGGGTGTTGGGAGGATCCTCCCAGGATGGGAGATGCATGCTGAAAGTAGACTATAGACCGAACATGATTGCCACTCAATGCAAACCACAGCACCCAAAAGGAGAGGAAGAACAAAAGGGAATGCCCTCCACAGAGGCGGGGGGGGGGGGGGGGGGGGGGAGATGGAGGGATGGGGGGATGGGAGGGATACTGGGATCAGAGGTGGTGGAGAGGCTTTGACAGGACATGAAGGGGCCCCTCAAAGCTCCCAGCTTTCCCCTGTGAGAACATCCCAGCAATGACCAGTTGCACACAAGGTCCCACTTGGGGTTGCCTGGGAAAAACCTACGGACCTGGTGACTTTGTGTTAAGAAAGGGGGGCCTTCCCCTGATGGGGGGCGGGGCCCCACACCTCAACCTGGGGTGTGGAATTTGTTTCCCTGACATTAGGAAGTGCCTTTGGCTCTCCCCTCCCTGGAGAAGCCCGTGTTCTCTCAGAAATATCTTTCCCGGGGCTTGAGCGATAGCTCAGTAGGTAGGGCGTTTGCCTTGCACGCAGCCGACCCGGGTTCAATTCCCAGCATCCCACATGGTTCCCTGAGCACCACCAGGAGTAATTCCTGAGAGAAGAGCCAGGAGTAACCCCTGTGCATTGCCGGGTATGACCCAAAAAGCAAAAAAAAAAAAAAAAAAAAAAAAAAAAAAAAAGGATGTCTTTCCCTTCCCCGTCATCTCCAAACAAAACTGTTTTCTTTCCTTCTCCATCACCTCTGGAAACCACTTCCTGCCAGGGAAGGCAACAGGCCTGAGAAGCAGGTGAGGGGTTTGGGGGAAGGGTTGGGGGACCTTGACGTTCCGGTCCCCAGCTTTAGTCCCACGGTCCCCCAAGAAACCAGCTGATCAGGACAACTTCCCACTCCATGGGGACCCAGCAGGACCTGGAGGTGGGGGGCAGCAGCGACCTGCGAGGTGAAGTTTGCGGCTGCGAGTGTCCAGGCCACAGTGGACTCTCGGTCTGGACCCGCCTGGGCAGGCCCCAGAGAGGATCCTGGGAGGCTCCACTTCGCCCCCTCCCCCCTCCCCCCATCCCCGTCACTCGCGGCCAGGCCCTCAGCCACCTCCCGGGAAAGCTGCACATGACCCAGCACATGCTGGAGCTCCACACACAGCTCGGAGGCACATTCGCTCCCCAGCAGCTCAGCCCCAGGGAAGCCAGCAGCAGACGAGAGCCAAAGGCCGGCAGCCAGCAGAGAGGGCACAGAGCCTGCCTGCGCCCAGCCGGCGGCCAGAGGCCAGCGCTTCACTCACACCCCGCAGCGCTCCCCACCGGCCCGGATCCTGCCATTCCCGACACCCTCCAGCAAACCCGACAGCGTCCTCCGGCGACCCTTCGCCAGCCCCATCTCCCGAGGGAACCTCTCCTCCGCAGGTGCCTGTGCGGCCTCCCCCCAGCCCACCTGGCCAGAACTCCTGCCTGCACGTTCCCACCAGATGTCACAGAAGTCACCACAGCCACCCGAGACGTGCCGATGAGCAGGAAGGAACAGTGTGACGGGACAGGACCGGCAGGGGAGTGGGCGGTGTGAATCAGTGCGGGAGACAGCGGACAGGAAAGAACACACAGGCCCAGGGCCGGAGCGATAGCACAGCAGGTAGGGTGTTTGCCTTGCACGCGGCTGACCCGGGTTCAATCCCCGGCATCCTATATGGTCCCCCCCCCCCAAGCATAGCCAGGAGTAATTCCTGAGTGCAAAGTCAGGAGTAACCCCTGAGCATTGCTGAGTGTGACCCAAAAGGAAAAAAAAAAAAAAAAGAACACACAGGCTCTCGGTGAGTCGCTGCACAGGCTCAGGGGTGCCCAGACGACACGGGCTGGCGCAGAGCAGATAGGGGGGCCAGGACTCCTGACCAGCGCCCCCCAGAGTGCTCCCTCCAATCCAGAAAGAACTCGTACACATCCAAGCTGCCTTTCCAGCCTGTCCCGTGACCCTTGACACAGTATGTCAGTGACAGCAGGAAGGCATCGCTCTGCTCGGCCAAAGTGACTTCAGACCTTCAAAGCCAGGCCACCAACTAGGAGAGGCTCTTCTCAGCCATGTGATGGGGGGCCCCTCCAGAACACTGGCACAAGCCCTGCTCCACCTCCACGATGAAAGAGACCAGAACAGGTCTGCCACCAAAGGAGTCACAGAGGGATGAGGAGCTCCAGAAAAGGCGCATGACACCGGGATAGTCACGGAGACCATTTCCCCCTGCAGACAGCTGACCTGAAAGACACGGGGCTGACCCCAAGGGACAGCACCTGGCGACCAGCTATAGTAAGAGGAGCCAGAGCCCAGGGGTCCCAATGCGGGACCCATCCCTGCTCCAGCCCAATCATCCCCCTGGCACTCCCAGAGGCCCCCCTACCCTCACCCAACACTGGATGGGGGGAAACACCAGGTACCAGGTGAGAAAAATAGCCCAGGCGCCAGAACAAAACAGCCAGAACCCAGCAGCATGGCACCTGCCCCAAAGACCCCTGCCAGGCTAAGGGGAGTGTCTGTGCCATCACCCCCAGCAGAGTCTTGAGAGCATTCCAGGAAGGAAGGGATCCCGCCCCCGCCCACAGGAGCCCCCAGAGTCCACCTGCGCCCACACTTCCCCGCCGAGTTTCCATCAATGCTCATGTGGGCAGTCCCTTCCAAAGTGCCGCTGTCCGATGTCTGAGGACCAGAGGGACGTGAACCCTCGCCCCTCGTGTCTCTTCCCCTGGGATGCTGTGTAGGGGGTATGTTACTCCCGCACATTTCAACAACTTGTGTCTATGTCTTTGTAAAGTATAGTGGGTAGTCAGAGGGACTACATTGCATCTGCACGGTGCCTTGTGCAATACGGCAATTTTGACCACGCTGATCTCCCAATCCTCGAGCAGGGGCAGTACTTCCATTCCCTCAAGTTCTCTTTCTTTCCTTTTAGTAGTGATTGACTATAAGTCTTTCACCTCTTTCATGAAGCTGTTTCCCAGGTACATGATTTTTCTGGGCCACAACTGTGAGTGGGATTGTTCTCTTAATTCCTCTTCTCTCTCTCTCTCTCTCTCTCTCTCTCTCTCTCTCTCTCTCTCTCTCTCTCTCTCTCTTTTACTTCATAAACCACAAGTGACAAGAAAATAAATTTTAAGTAAGTGCCTGTCAGACAGTTTGGGGGGTGGGAGGGAAACCAACGACACTGGTGGAGGCAAGTGGACACTGGTGGTGGGACTTGTAATTGAATATTGCATGCCTGAAACTCAATCGTGACTAACTCTGCAAATCAGAACACCTTTATTTTTTAATTAGAAAACAAAAAATGTTTAAGCCCAAAAGAGTGGAGCTGTGGGAGGAAAGAGAAGGAAGGAAGGAAAAAGTGTGATTCCAAAGGTTGGCCAGGAGACCCCTCAGAGCCCTTGAGGGATAGCACAGAGCGGAACCCTACGGGCACCAAACGAGGCTCGTCTAGCTGCCAAGCAGGGCTGAGTCCAGCCTCACTGGCCACGCCAGCCCTCCTCCAAGACTCGATTCCGCACCCTGCGTCCACCAGCCTCCAGGCGCCACACACACACACACACACACACACACACACACACACACACACACACACACACAGAGGCACGCGCAGGCTTTCAGGACCAGCAAGCACCTGGGCAGTGCGAACGGCAGTTGGACTTGGTAGCACAGCTTGCGGGAAGCGGAGGGTCAACCGCAGAGCGAGGGGAGCTGCAGGCAGCACCCCCACTCTGATCTGTCCCCTGCTGCCGCCGAGACCCGCAGGGCTGCTGAGGGCACCAACGGCCTTTGCTTAGAGCTGAGCCGTGAAGACTCTCACAGTGACTCCAGAGCAGAAGGCCCGTATGGTAGTAACACTCAGCCCCGAACAGGGCAGAGACAGCGCCGGCCGTGCTCTGGCTCCACACCGAGTGGTCGGCACCGGGGCTGCTGTGCTGGGGCAGGGGACACGGGGGAGGCCTGGTCTCTACTCGAGTGACGGGGCTATTTTTAACCGGATGGCATACTGCCTGCCCATGGAAGGTTAGCGGCACTGCCATGGGGCCTCCAGACACGGGCTCCCCACACGGACACAGGACCCCCCAGACACAGCCCCCCCAGACAAAGGCCCCCTGAGACACGTGTCCCCCAGACACGGGCCCCCTGAGACACACGTCCCCCCAGACACAGGCCCCCCTGAGACACGGGCCCCCCAGACACAGGCCCCCTGAGACACCAGCACCCCCAGACACAGGCCCCGAGACGCGGGCCCCCGAGACACGGGCCCCCGAGACACGGGCCCCCCCAGACACAGGCTGCCTGAGATACGGGCCTCCCCAGACAAGGCTCCCCCAGACACAGACCCCCTCCCTGAG